TGGAAACTGTCTATTTAAATTTTGAGGAGATCTGTGTGCATGCGTAGTAGAACCCTCTGAGGGTGGGGCTGGGGTGCCCACTAGCTCAGGCACCCCTATAGTCACCAGAATGGTGGTGCTCAGACAGCAAGGGACCAATGAACAGCTACCAAAAGAAAAGAATGTTCACACCTTTATCTCAGCGGTTCTGCCAGGCATCTGTGGCCGCTCTGATCCTTCCCCCACGTGGTCTCACCCAAGATGGCGGTTCCTGGAGCTGCTGAGTGTCCCGGACTAGAAAGCAATGGGTTTCTTGCTTCTGCCACAAACTCCCCAGCTGTGAGCCTTCTAACCTTCTAAGTATTCCTTTATATGTGGTTCAGAGTTCTGGGACCATCCCCTGAGCCTGGTTGGTCGGGTATTCTGTGTTGTTATTGGCGGAGCTCTTTACTGCACTTCCACCCGATCCGCCATCTTGTTTGTTCTCTCACGATTGTACTTTTTAAAAGAAACTTGCACCACCACTTTAATTAAGACCTCAAAAGTGCTTACCATAAATACAAAATGATTAAGTGCCAACTCAAAACTGCTGACTGTCTCTGAGCTGGAGGCCTACCCTTTAAGAAAGGTGAGTCACCGTGAAGAGGTGTCACGGAAACACCAACCCCAGATGAGACGGTCTCTCTGATGGCCTAGCTTATCTTCCCACCTCTGTACCCCCAGCACCAGGGAGGCCTCCTCTCCATGACACCGGAGCTCACAGTTGGCATCAGGCGCTCTCCGAGATCTCAGCACCGTGACAGAAACCGTTACTAAGTGTGCGAGTTGTGTATTCTGAGGTTGTCCTGTGTGTCAGGCTAGAGTATCCGGTGCCATGCACTGTTGCCTAGGGGTGGCTCTTGTGGCCAGTGTGATTTTGAAAGACTTTGGAAATACAATTCCAATGATAACGTCATATTCAATTCAAGCATTCCATTACAAGAAGGTTTCTTTCTCTGCTTGGAGCTTTGTATTGTGATTTGAGTGAAAGGTTGCTGAGAAAATTGGTTTTCCATTTGGTAATTCATATGTATTTTGTTTTGTGACATTTATTGCCACCCCCACAATATAATAGCACTCTTCCTACTTCCTCCCGGTGTTTCTTGTTTCTTTTCTTCCTTCTTTCCTATTCCTTCCTGTCTTGTGTGCCTTCTCCCTGGGCGGATGCTGCCTTTGATCTTGTATTGTTCTAAGGTGTGTGTAACCCACTTGGGGTTACTCACCATATAGGCTTGTCTGTCGTTGGGCTGAAAGCTTAACCATGGAGGTGAGTTTTATTGCAGATCTGAACTGTATCTAAGGGCCATCATTTCGGTGGTACAAAACATTTTTTGTTATTTTTTTTAATGTTTTATTGTGAATTATGTGATAGTTTACATGGGAGAACATTAACTTTACATTTATTCTATTGTATATCATTTCATTGCCATGGTTACAATCCCCTCCATGCATCATCAACCAGCCCTGCAAGCCTGACCCCCTGGGGGTCAGCACACAGCCCCTCTCCCTCTCTGGATCTAAAGTCCCCAGCTGCTCCATCTCTCCACGTCATCATCTCTGCCTCCATCTCTGGCGTCACTGTTTCTCTGGGTAGGCTCCCGCTCTCCGCTCTTCTCCCCTGATGGTCCTAGGGACCTCCGCTCCTGGACTGCAAAGTCAACCACTCCCCTTGTTTTGCTATGAAATACTTAACTTTACATATCCAGCCCTCACAATCAGTCCTGATAGGAAGGATATCTTGCTTTTGATGCTTATTAAATACAAAATATAAAACCCACTCTTTTGACCATGAGGGAAAAATTCATTCTTCAACATTTCAATTCTCATACAATGAAGTCCAGAGGTCTGTTGAATCCACCTTTTGGAATCCTGTAGTGCTTGTGTTTCCTCTTCTGAGACTTATCTATGGCGTAGGCATTCACAGAACCATCCACCCTCTTCCCTTTTGTGGAGTCAAAGGAAGCAAACCCCATTAACTTCATCATTTCTGTTTCTTCCTCCTTTAAGTCCTCCCCAGTAATCGGACGTTCTTGGCTCTTTCTTTCTTTTCATCATCTCTTCTTTCTTTAAGTCGAGAAGGGGAAAAGGATGTAGATCTATCTTGGTAATCTAGACCACCTTTTGTGGGGTGACCAGGAGCAGCTCCTCCTTTGATATCTCCTCTGCGACCTGTATCTTTCTCTGAATTCTCTCTCCTGGGATGTGGACCAGGACCACCTTCACTTTCTCCGTGGTGAGTAGCTGTGGCTGCAACCCATTCCAAATCCTCCGCCAACTTACAGCCTATTGCTTTTTTCTTTTTTTAAAAATGTTTTATTGTGAGTTATGTGATAGTTTACATGGGAGAACATTAGCTTTACATTCATCCTATCACATATCATTCCATTGCCATGGTTACAATCCACTCCATGCAACATCAAACAACCAAAGGGTACACCCCACAAGCCTGCCCCTTGGTTGTGAGCACACAGCCCCTCTTCTTTTCTGGGTCTAGAGTCCCCAGCCACTCTATCTCTCCACGTCATCATCTCTGCCTCCATCTCTGGCGTCACTGTTTCTCTGGGTGGGGCACAACGTCTTTGTAATGGGGTTTGTCCTATGACTTAAGGAGAATCATTGACTCCTTCAGTTGGTCCTGTTGTTGTTGTTAAGTGTCTTCAAGTTGGTTCCGACTCAAAGTGACCCTATTTAGGTTTTCTGAGGCTCTTTAAATTTTTACAGGAGCAGAAAATCTCATCTTTCTTCTGTGGAGCAGTTGATGGGCTCTAACTGTGGACCTTGTGGTTCCCAGTCTGATTCTTATTATATGGAGCTACCACGCTCCTAGTCAATCTAGTAGGCATAAAGACCTTATTCCTCTGTGCACTTTCAGGCACTGGAAAGAGCTCATGGAAAAAACAGGAGTCTCTTTTGAAATGACTGAGACCTTCACCTTGGAAAACATGTTCGCTATGGAACTTGACAAGCATGCAGAGGTTCTCAATCAGATTGTCACAGCAGCCATCAAGGAGATCGCCATTGAGAAGGTGAGCCTTGGGAAATGGGCATTCTCTCCAGACAGGAAGCACATTTGCTCTGGCACCTGCTGTCTTTGAGTAACAGAGAAATGGTTCTAGAAGTGGAATTTCTGTCTCCACTTCAATTTTTTTGTTAGTTTCATTTTCAGGTCAATAGTTATTAAAAGAGTGTGAATGTTAAAGGGACCCGCATGGAAGAAGCAGGATAACCGTTGTTGATCGCTGAGATGAAACAAAACGTAGAATTTGTTGAAACTAAAGCTAATGATCTTGTCTGTTAACCTTCACTGAATTTACAATAAAAAGTAAAAAAAAAAAAAAGTGAATGTTCATGGTCAAAAATTGAGTAACTAAACACATCAGTGATGATTCTACCACTTGAAGGTCATTGCTGTTAACATTTTTGTGTATACCCTTTCATATTAAATAATGGATACCCATGTGTGGTATGGTGGTTAAATGCTCGACAACTAATCTAAAGGTCTGGGGTTGGAACCCACCAGTCACTCTGTGGCAGAAAGATGTGGTAATGTGCTTTCATAAAGACATCCAGCCTTGGAAACCGTAAAGAGCACTTCTAGTCGTCCTGTCAGGTTGCTATGAGTCAGAATTCAACTCGGTGCCAGTGGGTTTGTTTGTTTTTGGACACACATGCATACATGTACACATCATACACACAGAAATGCATATATGCACACATATACAATGCAGTATGTATAGGCACATATTAGCACAAACACTGATATATGCATATATACAGCATGTGCATACACATGTTTATATGCACATATATACACATACATATATGGAATCATCATGGGCATGCTATTTTGGAATTGTGTGTTCTTGCTTACCACAGAGAGAGGACACTAGGGCAGGGCTGCATGTGTGTAGGATTTGGAAGCTGAGTGTGGGTGGCTCTGGCGCTCAGGAGCTGAGAGAACTTGGCAAACTGCTTCACCTCTCTGAGCCTCGGTCCTTTGTCTCTAAAATGGGAGGAGTAATAGCACAGACATCACCAGGCTTATTTGGAGGAGGAATTGAGCTAATGCATGTACCCTGCTTCCCTTACATGTAGCACATGCTTCATAAATCATAACTATCATTACTGTGACAGAATCGCTCTACTCAGAAAACCCGGACTCCCGCCTGAGGAGTTGATCAGAGGCATGCTAAGGAAGTTGTTGTTGAATTGGGGTTCTGTGTACAGTGCATTTGCCTGCATCAATCTTTTTCTGTTCCTGGCCAGGCTGTGAAGGAAATCCTGGATACTTGGGAAAATATGAAGTTCACCGTGGTCAAGTATTATAAAGGCACCCAGGAGCGAGGCTACATCTTGGGGGCTGTTGATGACATTATTCAGTGCCTTGATGACAACACTTTCAACCTACAAAGCATCTCAGGAAGCAGATTTGTGGGGCCTTTTCTGCAAACTGTTCATAAATGGGAAAAAACACTTTCTCTGATCGGAGAAGTTATTGAGGCAAGTGAAAAGGCATGAAAGTTGACAAGAACTAATTAATAGCAGAAAAGAAATCTTTATAAGCAAATACTTTGTACTTGAAAAACTTAAGATCATCTTTATACTTTTACGGTCATGATTTAGTTTACAAGGAGGGACACTTAATTAGAAGATTTGATCTAAGTTTTAATTTCAATGATTTGTATTTTTAATTTTCAAGATTTCTTAATTATCTCCTTTTCCTGTGTTCCTGTTCTTGTTTAATACTGTCCTGTTCTTATTTAATATGGTTCTGTTCTTGTTTAATATGGTTCTGTTCTTGTTTAATATGGTCCTGTTATTGTTTAATACAGTCCTTTTCTTGTTTAGTATGGTCCTGTTCTTGTTTAATATGGTCCTGTTCTTAATATGTTCCTGTTCTTATTTAATATGGTCCTGTTCTTGTTTAATATGGTCCTGTTATTGTTTAATACAGTCCTTTTCTTGTTTAGTATGGTCCTGTTCTTGTTTAATATGGTCCTGTTCTTATTTAATATGGTCCTGTTCTTGTTTAATATGGTCCTGCTATTATTTAATACAGTCCTTTTCTTGTTTAGTATGGTTCTGTTCTTACTTAATGTGGTCCTGTTCTTATTTAATACTGTCCTGTTCTTATTTAATATGATTCTGTTCTTGTTTAATATGGTTCTTTTCTTGTGACAAGGATGTTCTTACCATTTATCACATTGAAATTTTAAGCTTATTTATTTTAAAGCCTCTTTCATCTTCTAATTTTTTATTTCCTTAGTGAAAAATTTCCTCTTTTTTGTGTCCGCTGACTGACTGATAGTGGTGGGTTTCTCTCTATGTTCTGGTTAAATTTTTTTTTTTTTTTTAAGATTTTATTGTGAATTAAGTGATAGTTTACATTGGAGAACATTAGCTTTATATTCATCCTATCGTATTTCATTTCATTGCAGTGATTACAGTCCCCTCCATGTATCATCAAACAATCAAAGGGTATACCACACAGGTCCACCCCTCGGCCATCAACACACAGCCCCTCTCCTTCCCTGAGTCCAGAGTCCCCAACTGCTCCATGTCTCCACATCATCATCTCTGCCTCCATCTCTGGCATAACTGTTTCTCTGGATAGGGTCCTGTACTCCGCTCTTTTCCCTTGATGGTCCCAGTGTCCTTTGCTCCTAGACTTCAAAATCAACCACTCCCCTACTTTTTTTTTTTTTTTTTTTCCATGCAAGGTTGTTTTTATTAAGGTTTATATTCAGATTACAGCTAAGTGTTTCCGATATTACTTCTTTTGAGAGACAGCCACTACATTCTAGGAGATATTTCAAGAGACAGCAATGATTTCACAACTATTCGGGAGTAGCAGAGCACCCCTATTGGGCATTTAGCACATATGTTAAGCACTTCAAGGGATTCTTAGGGGAAAGAAGCTAAATGACAACTGGTTATAACTGGTTACAAATGGTTCTCCTCTATAAAGTTATTATCCTGGACAAATAGGTACAAAGAAAAGATCTATGATTACTACAGAGCTAGAGGGATCTTTCATCCAAGTCCATCCTTTTCACTTAGAATAGGAATTGGGGAGCACATATCAGAAGGCAAATAATTCTTTCAAAAAAAGTAGCTACATGCCAAGTTTTCTATGTGTGGTAGTAATGCTAATGTGATTCACTTATTTTTAAAAAAATCAACAATAGAACATTTTTCGATGTAAAATCTATGATATTAGCAACTATAGGAGATGCTTAGCAATTGAAGTTTCTTCTCTCCACTCTTGTGGTTTTCTTTATGAAATTTTCTGGGAAATTTTCATTGTGACTGTTTTCACTTCTGTATATTTGTGAAAGCCATATTCTCCCAGTTCTCGTCCATTTCCAGACATCTTGAATCCTCCAAAGGGACACTGGGCAGACACCACACTATAGCAGTTCACCCACACTGTCCCAGCCTGCAGTGCAGAGGAGACGGTCACAGCTTTACCAAGGTCCTTGGTAAAGATTCCTGCTGATAAACTGTAGAGAGTGTTGTTTGCTCTCTTGATCACATCATCTAAAGATTTAAACCTTATGATTTGCTGAACTGGTCCACATATCTCCTCTTTGGCAATTTACATCTCATCAGTAACATTTGAGAAAACTGTGGGCTGGATAAAGTAGCCTTTATTCCCCCATGGGCCTCCTCCACATTCCAGTTTGGTCCCTTCTTTCTTCCCACTCTCAGTGAGGTTGGGGATTTTATCAATTGCTCCTTGTCAATCTGAGGGCCTTGATTTACTTCTGGGGTCAGAGGATTTCCAAGAACATACTTCTTAGCCCGCTCAATGCTCCTTCAGACAAACTCATCATAAATTGATTCTTCCACAAAAAAACCTGGATGTAGCTGTACAACATTGGCCCTGGTGGTAGAACAATCCCTGGTGTGCAAATTCAACGGCATTGTCCAAGTCAGCATCAGCAAACACAATGCAAGGACTCTTCCCACCCAGCTCCAGGGTAACCCTCTTCAGGTTGCTCTTCCCAGCAGCTTCTTTGATCATTTTGCCAACCTCAGTTGATCCTGTGAATGCCGTTTTGTCGATGTCCATGTGGGAAGAAAGGCGGCACCTGTGGTAGGCCCATAACCAGGTACAATATTCACAACTCCTGCAGGAAACCCTGCCTCTTTTATTAAAGATGCCTCATGAAGAGCCGTGAGAGGAGTTTGTCCTGCTGGTGTGACAATCATGGTATTTCCATAGCGGAGAGCAGGACCTATCTTCCAAATGAGCATAACCAACAGGAAATTCCAAGGAATGATTTGCCCACATACACCAATAGGCTCATGTCTTGTGTAAGCAAAAAAGTTTCCATCAATTGGAATTGTCCGACCCTGGATCTTGTCAGCCCAGCCTGCTCAGTAGCGTAGAGTTTTGTGCAGCCTCCTAAATCCATCAGATATGAATTGGTAAATAGTTTTCCACCATTCATTGACTCCAGTGTTGCCAGCAGCAGACGATGTCTCTCAATTAAATCAGCCAACTTGTATATCAGTCGTCCCCTTTCTGAAGCATCCATAGTAAGCCATGGAGAGCCAATCTGAAAAGCCTGTCTTGCAGCCTTCACTGCTTTGTCAACGTCTTTCTTATCTCCTGCTTCAACCTCACAGAGTTTCTCCTCGTTTGCTGGATTGAAGACAGGAAATTTCTTGCCACTCACAGAACTATGCCATTCATTGTTTATGAAGATCTTAGTGTGTTGAATCTTCAAATTGGTGAGTGGGACAGGTAACTCTGGCATGCCTGAAGACATTTCTGCTAAGGCTCCTGAAATACAAGTGACAGACTCAGCTTCTGGTAGTCACTCCCCTCCTTTTGCTACAAAATGTCTACCTTTACATTTCCAACACTCACAGTCAGTCCTGATAACAATTATTCACTATTGTATCACAAGAGTCCTATTACCATCTCCTTTCATCAGCCCCATCCAGACAGGTTGAAAACGACTCAGTGGAGATTCTACCTTCCCCCGTACCCTCTGAAACTAGGCTCCCTCTTGAAAGCTTGTAAGCCAGTCTCTTCTTGCCTTTGTAGCCCCCCCATTAGGGGTAGTCGGTTTCTAAATTGCTCATCCCTGTCTACCCCATGTACCAAGGGGGTGGGAAGGATACTTGCTGTAAAGATTTGTTCTCTCTTTTGAGTTACTACGTCTATAAGTATAGGTCAAGTTTGTCAAATTTTAGAGGATTACTCTTTTTTTCCCTCTTCTTTCTTCTTCTAGTTGAGTTCTGATCATCCAGCCATTGAAACCAGGTCAAGTGGGTATTATCTGTAAGTGCGGGTGTTCTTGTGCATCTCCCCTCACTTCGTATCAGCTGGATGCTTCACTCTCTGCTCTAGTCCTCTGTGGCCAAGTCTCTGTCTCTAGGCCTAGGAGTCCCCAGGTCTTGCCATACTGCTGGCCATCCAGGTCTCAATCTGGGTTCACAGGAGTCTATTGAATGTGGTTGGACTTAGTTCACAACTTCATTGCTGTTTTTTCCCCATTTCCCCTTATCGGTGACCATTGTGGTCAGCTCTGATTTAAATTTATCTTTGAGAATATGTACATCAAAACATATGCCGTCAACAGTTTCTACGTGTACAATTTAGTTACCTTGATGACATTCTTCAAGTTGTACAACCATTCTCCTTCTCCATTTCTGAATTGTCACTCCATCATTAACATAAACTCACTGCCCCCTGAAGGGTCCTGTTTAATCTTTTGAGTTGCTGTTTTCAGTTTGATTCCATTTGTTGTTGTAGGTAAGTGCTAGCGAGTCAGCCCTGACTCACAGAGATGCTATATATGGTTTCTAAAGAGCAGCTGGTGGGTTTGAACTACTGACCTTTTGGTTAGCAATCCAGTTATCCTTCTGCTCCCCACCAGGACGCCTTGATTCCATTTAGATCTTAAAAAAGTATAATGCTGAAGGCAGACATTTTAAAAATACTAAACGATTGTTTGTTTTTTAAGAAGACTTCATGGAAAATTTTTGGTTTAAGGGTGAAAGATAATCTCAGGGCAATGGTGACAGGGATATATCAAGATGCCACTGATGGTTGTTATGCTGTACCTCAGGATTTAATTTAATTTTTGGTTCTCTTTCCCTCTCCGTGTCTCTTGTTCTGGCCTTTTCTGCATTAAAACAAGCAAACAAACAAACAAAAAACTGTTCAGGGCTGGCTCTTGGTCTTAGTGTATCTGTGTGCATGCGTAGCAGAAGAACCTACCAGTGGTGTCCATGAGGATTTGAAATTCTGTTCTGCATTTTGCTCCTTTTTATGAGTTCTTCTTGTCTCATAGTAATGGAGGCAGTTGTTTCTGGAGGCAACTAGCCACACATCCATTTCCTTCTCCTATTCCTGACTCTCAGTCTTCCTCTGTTGCTCCAGGCACTGTGATTTGATTTGATTTTTTAGTTCATCTTATATAATCCCCTCTCCCTCCCCTGGCTTTGCTCGCCATGCCTTTTTACATGATCTTCTGCACAGTTCTGTCCCTGACATTTGTGGATCACAGCGTTTTAAGGTCTGCGTACATTTGGAAGCTTCCTTCTTGTCCCAGGCTGGTGAGGACTTTGAGTGTGGCTGCGTATTTAAACATAGTTCTAACTGTTTTATCCAGCATACCTGCCCACTTAGAACGTAGAGTCCTCTGCCCTGTGGTGATTGGAATTCCTCCTGTGTTACCGTGGGCTTTGGCTCTGCACACCTGAGGCACTGGTTCCCTGCTGCTGATGTTAACATTTTACACTTACAGATCTGGATGCTGGTTCAGCGAAAATGGATGTATCTTGAAAGCATTTTTATTGGTGGAGACATAAGATCCCAACTTCCAGACGAGGCAAAGAAGTTTGACAACATCGATAGACTATTTAAAAGGGCAAGTGACTGGTTTCTATTGTAGTCACGAATGAAGAACAGTTATTTTATTTCCATGTGATAGTTATTCTCACCTGGGTTTGTTTCTCCATCACTGCATATGACCTTTATCTGTTTAGTGAAGGCTTGTTTGATCTCTAGCTGCTGATATATGATACTACAAGTTTAGAAAATGTAGTTTAAGAAATATATGTTCTTGTTGTTGTTAAGTGCCATCAAGTTGGTTCTGACCCACAGTGACCCTATATAGGGTTTCCAAGGAGCAACTGGTGAGATTGAACTGCCGACCTTGCAGTTCAAATGGCTTTGCAGTCTGGCACATTAACCCACAGTGCCACACCAGAACATAGTTTCTTTTTAATAGTAGCTTGTTTAAAAAATGTATGAAATGTGATGAAATCTATCTCCTTTGATTCCATCCCTTTAACATGACCTCTGTACTACGTCATACATTTCTTAAGGAGCTCTGATAGCATAGTGGTTACAAATTGGGCTGTGAACCGCAAGGTCATCAGTTCAAAACTACCAGCTGTTCCGCGGGAGAAAGATGAGGCTTTCTGCTCCCGTAAAGATTTACAGCCTTGGAAACCCTGTATAGGGTTGCTACGGGTGGGAACCGACTTGATGGCACTTAACAACAACAACAACACTTGTGGTGCTGTAAGGAGCTCTGGTAATGTAGTGGTTACAAATCGGGCTGTGAACCACAGGGTCAGCAGTTCGAAACTACCAGCTGTTCTGCAGGAGAAAGATGAGGCTTTCTGCTCCCGTAAAGATGTACAGCCTTGGAAACCCTGTTCAGGGTCACTATGGGTCAGAACCGACTTGATGGCACTTAACAACAACAAGGAGCTCTGGTAGCGTAGTGGTTACGAATTGGGCTGCAAACCTAAAGGTCAGCAGTTCAAAGCTACCAGCTGTTCCGCTGGAGAAAGATGAGGCTTTCTGCTCCTGTAAAGATTTACAGCCTCGGAAATCCTGTATAGGGTCACTATGAGTCGGAACCGACTCCATGGCACATCACAACAACAACAACAACATTTGTGGTGCTATAAGATCAGCACTGGACTACGAACCACAAGATCAACAGTTCAAACCCACCTCATCTCCTCTTGTGCATCTCATCATCAGACCCACCTCAGAAACCTCAGAAACCCTATACAGGGTTGCCGAGTCACAACTGACTTGACAGCACTTAACAAAAAAATCATATGCTTAAAAGATACAGTTATGAGGGAGCTTCAAAAAGTTCATGGAAACATGGAATTTAAAGACAATGTAATTTTCCCACAAAGTTTTTGAAGCCCCCTTGTGTCATCATCTTGCATACCATTTTACATCTTGTCATTTTCTCACAATAGCGTGAGAAGCATCATTCCCTATTAGGCAGCCATCTAAGGATCTGTTCTCCTGGCTTTCTTGGTGTTCTAGTGAGTGTCTGGGCTTGAGTGTATGTAACTATTTTCTAATAGATGGACAGATTGTTGTTGTTAAGTGCCATCGAGTCAGTTCCAACCCATAGTGACCCTGTATAGGGTTTCCAAGGAGCAGGTAGTGAGCTTGAACCGACTTGAGGTGAATTCTTGGCTTTCAAAAATCATGTGCAAGTTTGATCATAAGGCTTCTTCCCTGCTGAGGATAAATATCTTAGGGTACCTTGTTAGGAAGCGGATTGTCCCTGAGAGGGTCTGCTTGCTCTCAAGCCCTTCCCAGAGAATGTTGTACCCGCCATGGCTGCTACTAGGAGTTAGCCGAGGTCGTCCGCCCGCCTTAGAATCCAGACACTATAGCACCTGCTCGTTCAGTTTTTGGTGTGGTCTCCTCTATCCACTACTGTTTGTAAATGGTTTTTTAGCTTAGCTGTTTGCATATATTCTTATTTTGAAAATAAAAAAATAAAATATGTATTCATCATAGAAGGATTTTGAAGTCCCCAATAAAAGATAAAAAGAGGGGAAAAATATTGCAATCCCATTACCCAAATGAGTCCTTGTAGCAGAGTGGCTAAAGCACTCACCTACCAATGGAAAGATTGGCGGTTCAAAACCACCAAGGGCTCTATAGGAGAAAGATGTGGTACTCTGCTTCAGTAAAAATTACAGCTGATTATCCTGTCCTATAAGGATGGTAGGATTTGAGATTTACTGGACAGCCGTGGTTTTTGATTTTTCAGGATAGCCACTGTTAACAGTTTGGCATATCTATCTCCAGATCTTTTTCTCTTCTTATGTGAACATATAAATAGATGCAAAAATGACTAGATATTTCACAAAAATAGAATCATGTTTCCCAATTTTGTTGGCTTTAAAAAACATACATTTTAAACGATAGACAGCTAAGATCTATAACAGCAGCTTTATATCCCATGGTATGAATTTTTTACCTAATTGTATCTTTCTCCTGCTCCCCACCGCCTCTTTTTTTTTTTTTTTGCTGTTGTAAAGAGTTGTACAGTGAACATTCTGGCATATTCAAACCATTCAGAGTGGGACTACTGGGTTCATTCACTCAAGAAATATTGATGGGTGGTTACTAGCTGTAGAGTTTATTGTAGGTACTTGGTGCAGAGATGTGAACAAAACAGATTAAATTCCCTGCCCTGTGCTGCTGGTCACCTAACAGATAAATTGCCAAAAATTCACTCAGAAAGAAGTATGTGTAGTATGTTTGAAGAGGCCATGAATTGTAGCAATTTAATGTTGTTGTTGTTGTTGTTATGTGCCGTGGAGTCGGTTCTGACTCACAGAGACCCTGCATAGGAGCCGTCTAAAGATTGAGTCAAACTGCTCTTCCCGAACACCTACGGTTTTCTTCTCTGCCGGGCCCATTGCTTCTGCTTCCTCTGCCTAATGTGTCTGTTGCATCCTTCCCAGATAATGGCAGAGACTCTCAAAGACCCTGTGATCAAGAAATGCTGTGAAGCCCCAAGCCGCCTTAGTGACCTGCAGACCATCATCGAGGGCTTGGAGAAATGCCAGAAAAGTCTCAACGACTACCTAGACTCCAAGCGCAACGCCTTCCCGAGGTTCTTTTTCATTTCTGACGACGAGCTGCTCAGCATCCTGGGCAGCAGCGACCCGCTCTGTGTTCAGGAGCACATGATCAAGGTCAGCTCCTCTGTTCCTCACGGGGACAACCCATTCTTTACCCAGTTACGCTCAGCATCCTGGGTAGCAGTGTCCCGCTCCGTGTCCAGGTACACATGATCAAGGTTGAATCCTGCTTCTTGTCCCAGTTACGCTCAGCCCAGGAACTGAAAACTGAGATGCTGTCCACGCTTTAGTTTGAAGCATCAATCTAAAGAAATTCACTTTGTTTAAAGTTGCACCATAGTCCTGTTTGGCATTATAGGGTAAGCACTGGACCACAAAGTCCATTTGAACCATGAGGTTGGCAGTTTAAACTCATCACCCACTTCTTGGAAACCCTATACAGGGTCGCTATGAGTCAGAACTGACCTAACAGCATGTAACAGCAACAATGACAAAGTTGCACCAGAATTCCACTGTTCTTTGTGGCTCTTTTTCCAAAGTCCAAAAACTTTTTTTTTTTTTTAGAAATTAAAAACAAAAACCAAAGAAATAATCAGTAGAAGCTCTGTAGCCCCCTGACCACTGCTGCTGAGTTGAGTCTGACTCACAGTGGCCCTGTCACACAGCGTACAACTCCTCCGTTTGGTTCTGAGGCTCTGAATCTGCCACATCTTTCCCTGAGGAGAACTCATGGGTTTGAGCTGCCAGCCTCTCAGTTGGCAGTCCGGTCCACTACCTGCCCTCCTTTGAGGCAGTCTAGGGTAGTGATTTTCTGGGCTCTACACCAATTTGCTCTGTGACCATAGGCAAAATACTTAAAATTCTCTTGACATCAGTTTCTTCTCTGTATATTTTCAAAAGCAGAGCTATATAAAAACTAATAAAGTAACCTGAGCAGTATTAATAGGCTTATAGTTTAGCACAGAGATTCAGATCTGGCTCTAGACTTATTTACTGTGTGACCAGAGGCAAATTGCTTAACCTTTCTGGACATTAGTTTCCTTACCTGCAAATAGAAGTAACCCCGGTAGTTACCTGCCTCATTAGAGTTGTGATAGGATTAAACGAGTTATGTTTGTAAAATACTTGCTACAGTGCCTGCTTTACAATGTTGGCCAAATAATGGTAGCCACCTCTCAGAGTGGACACATGTTAATATTTAGTTATATTTGCTTTGTTGCCTAAAATTGAGTTGTATGGATTCAGGTCCCTTCCCCCATCCATAATTCTTCTACTTAGCAGCCGTGCTGAGAGCTTGCTGGGATTCCTTCAGTCCGTGGTTTCATAAGTCTGCATAAACGTGTGTGTATCCGCGGACAATATTGAATGGCAGGGAGCATAGCAGAGCAGTCTGTCTCGTGTGACAGAGAATGGAGCCTGGTCAGATGTCATCCTTCAGCTGTGGAAGTTCCACACTGAGTATTAGCCTACAGTGGGGGCCTCACCGTGGGAAAGTTGATTTGTAGGATGTTGAGCAGCTTCTCTGCTTCTTCCCACCAGAAACCCTTCAGCTGTGACAACCCAAAGCCCCTAGGTATTGCCCACTATCCCTGAGAGGTGTGATCTTTCTGGACTGAGGACATATGTCCTTGAGTAATCCTTAAGTTGTGGATGAACAAGGCAGGAGAGTCACACTGGAACTTATTTGTGTAATTTTTGTTGTGATTTGAGTTCATACACAGCTCATACACACTTTGATTCATGGCGTGGAATGCTGTCCCCACAATGTAACAGCCCTCTTCCCACTTCCTCCTGGGGTTTCCTGTTTCCATTCCTCATGCCTGCCTTCTGAGCTTTCTTCCTGGGTGAACACTGCCCTTCTGATCTCCTGTGGCTGCTTGTTCTAAGGAGTAAGTGAGTACTCCCTGGTGCCCTGGCTCCATTTATAGAAGTCCTGATGTGGCGCTGCAGGTCAGTGCGCTGGACTGCAAGGTCAGTTTGAACCGCAAGGTCGACAGTTCAGTCTTACCAGTCGCTCCTCAGAAATGCTTTATAGGGTCGCTATGAGTTGGAGCTGACTCGATGGCACTTAAAAACAAACAACTGTTTAGCTGAAAGTGGAGCCATGAAGGTGAGTTCAGTTTCAAGCCTGATGACTGACTAAGGCCTGTAGTTTCGGGGGTCCCACTAGTGTGTTCATTTCTATGAGTACTGTTCTGCAGTGGTTTCCACTCCATCTAGAACTTCCGCTGTGATCCATTTCCGAGGGGTCAGCAGTGGTAGCTGGTCACCATCGAGTTCCTCTGGTCTCGGGTGGTGCAGGCTGGGGTTCATGTGGTCCATTCCCTTTAGACTAATTGTTTTATTGCTTCTCTGATTTTCTTCACTCTGCTCTGGATGAGGAGACGGTCATTTTGATTTCATGATTTCCTTTCTCCACAAAGATGTGTATATTCTGTCCCTATCTTTATCAACAGATACTCAGCCGTTATAGAAATACATGTAATAACAATCTTTTCCTCTCATCTCCATAGGGGGCGTTGGTAGGCTTTGCAGCGAATGGTTAGGATCCTTGGTGGGGTCCTGGGTTACAACTCCGGCTGCTAACTGCTAGGTCAGCAGTTGGAATCTACCAGCCAGTCTCAGAAACCCTCCACAGGGTCGCTGTGAGTCCGCACCGACTTGAGGACACACGAACATCACCACTGCTAGCTCCTTTTGCAAACCTCTGATTTCGTTGGTTAAAGCCTTTCTTTCTTCCTCAGTCTGGTTTGCACAGTGCTGGTCCTATGAATAAACCCTCTCATTTCCCAAGGGTCATTCTGACAAATAATAGCAGTAGTAATAACCAACAAATGTCAAGTCATCCCTGAGCCAGCATTTCACACACCTTGTCTCCTGGCTCCGCTTGTCCGCCCGGTCTTGTAGGTCCTGTTATTCTGGTCTTCCGTTCCTGCTCGGTGGGGAAGCTGGGCTCTGGAGCTCTTCAGCCTTAGTTTTCAGTCAATGTCCCGGGGATGGGAAGGAGGGGGGCGCGGTGAATGCTGAACACACTTGGCTGCTTGGTTGGTGGTTCCAGTTTACCCAGGGGTGCCACCTCAGAAAGGCCTGGTGATCTGGAGTAGATTTCTCAGCCATTAAAAACCTCAGGAAGCACAGTACTACTCCTGACACACATGGGGTGACCGTGAGTCAGCTTCCCCTTGACGGCACCTGGGGCTGGTCCTGGTAGCATGTGTAATCCCCAGGTCATTGTGCCTCTTCTAGAGTTGTAGTCATGGTGATACCCCCCCCCCCCCCCCCCCCCATGGTAGCACATACACTAGGATCTCCAGTATTGGGAGCCTGTCGTCTTTCCTCCACTCATCACAGAGCTTTGCACAGTGCAGGCTGAGCAAAAGTATCCAGTCAGTGTTTGTTGATGAACAAACGCCAGGTGAACGAACAGCTCTTTGGCGTGTGATCCCAGCTTGCCTGTTGCCTGCCTCCTCTCGGTCCTGCTCCTTGACACCAGGCTCCCTCATGTATTTCACGGCGGCTGCCTCTGTCTTGCAGATGTATGACAACATAACGGCCCTGAGGTTCAGTGACGGGGAAAGTGGGGAGAAGCTTGTGTCCGCCATGATCTCGGCAGAGGGAGAAGTCATGGAGTTCCGGAAGATCATTCGAGCTGAAGGGCGCGTGGAAGACTGGATGACGGCAGTTCTGAACGAAATGAGAAGAACCAACAGGCTGATTACTAAAGAGGCCATCTTCAGATACTGTGAAGACAGTAGCAGGTGAGGCCAGAAGAGGGCCTGGTTTTAAGGGTTTGCAGGAGGATTGGTGTTCTCAGTCCAGTCAGTCATCTGAGACTAGAAGGGCATCTGCCCAAGATCAAAGGCAGGAAGGGGCAGACAAAAAGGACAAATGGAAATGGGGATCCCACTGAGGAAGCAGGAAGAGTGCTGTCACACTGAGGGGATTGTAACTCATGTATTGAAACAAAACGGGGTATCAGTTGTTGAATGTGAAATCCGTTTGCACTGTAAGCTTTCACCCAAACTACAGTTAAAAAACAAAAGTCTTTTTGAAAGGATAGATTTATCTGCACTTCCAGTAGGGTTTTCTCATGTCTCAGGAACTGAACTAGCTGTGTGTGCCTACCTTTAAATGGCCACACAGTGCAGTGCTTTTCAAAGGGGAGTCCTTGGCCAGCAATGGCCAGCTCTCGGGAGCTTGCTGGCATTGGCTGCTGTGGTCAGCCCCAGACACAACCGAGCACAGTGGCACTTAGCCCTGCGCCATCCCCAAGATCACAGTGGATCATGGTGCTCTGATGGTGCGCTCGGAAGCCGGAAATGCAGTCTGATGAATTAAAAATCTCTGCCACCACTTTCCTCCTACAAACACCCTTCCCTGCGTGTTCTAGTGGGGTGGCGGAGTGGAAATGAACGTCCTGTGATTCATTTGAGCAATTTGAATGTTCAGCATCACAGAGAAGGAAGGCCCAGATGTAACTAGTCCCCGAGGAACCCCAGGGACCTGGGATTCGGCAAACACCATTTATGTTCAGGGGCCACTTTATTGTCTCTGGTCATATCTACCTCTACAAATTTTCAACATCCTAGGACTCCTGACGTGGCCCTGTAGGATAAGCATTGGATTGTTAACTACAAGTTTGGCAGTTCAAACCTACCAGCTGCTCCTTGAATACCCTATATCGGGCTGCTATGAGTCAGAACTGACTCGACCATAATTAACAACAAAGATTTGACTGAAAGCAGAAAATACTAGAGAGTTGTTTACCCATAATTTGTTGACTGTACATAGGCATTCCTCCCTGTGGATCATAACCAGTCATGATAACCTTCACAGATCGGGAATTCCAGAACACTTGAATTATCCTCTTGTTGACCCTATACATACACTGGTCATCCCACCAGAACAAGAGGATACTGTTTGGTTTCAAAGCAGGATGAGTGTGTGTCAGGGCTGAATCCTTTCATCATGCTTACTCAGTGTGTCGGTTGAGAAGCTGGATGATTTGAATAAGAACGTGGCAGCAAGAATGGAGAAAAATTTATTAACCATCTATGATATATAGATGACACAACCCTGTTGGCTGAAAGTGAAGAGGAGTTGAAGTATGTGCTGACGAAGATTACAGACTATACAGCATTCACTATGGATTATTCCTCAACATCAGGAAAACAGAAGTCCTCTCAACTGACCCAATAAAGCAGCATCATGATAAATGGAGAAAATATTG